AGGCTCTAGACTCAGACTGGATGGACCGGTACCGGCCTAGACCTAGCCTACCGCTACTGGGCCTCTAAAAATGCCAACTTTGTCTTCTTCTGCTCAGCCTCGAGACCCCGGCATATCTACTGCTACTGGGTGCGGTACCGGCCTACCTGCTACTTGAGTGTTTTTCCGCTGCTCTGAGCACCGCGGGCCCCTGGCTCCGCTACTTGAGTGTTTTCCCTGCTGCAACCCTCAATGCCACGGCCACAGGTAAGTACCGGCCTTACGGGCCTGCCAAACAAGCAAGTACCCTTGTGGGTCACACACACACTCATGCCGACAAGCACTCAGACAGGCACGCAAGTCCACAGGCATGCACACATACAGACTTCGAAACACAGCAGAATGCGGGAATCTCAGCAAGGCATCCATTCCATCGGCAGAACTTCAGAAATCAGCAGTGTTCTCAGTCTGTGTTATGGCGGGTCATTACAGCCTTTACTTATCGCCACATTGACGATGTTCTTTCATGGGGGCAATTACCTCCTCCACCAGAGCACTATGTGGTTTCGTTATCGAAGAGCGACCTCCAACATCCCTTCCCATCAACCGGCTGGTGTGTTCACTTGGCAATTGACCAGATTTGAACAAATCTGTAACAATTGGTGGGGCTTTCAAACTGCGGAAACATCAATTACTTGTTGCATGCTTGCCCTTGGGCATTCCCCACCAACCCTTGCTAAGGGGTGGACCTGCTACATGCGCTCCCACCAACATCGCTATCCTATGCATGTGACGCCCCTCTCTGTGGTTTCAATGCATGCTGCGGCCTTGTATCATCCACTTTCTTCTTTGCCCCCACGACGGTCTCGTCCTACCCCTTCTTGCTTATCTGCGGCTACCACAATTTCCCCTGCTGCAGAGTCCAAGGCTGCAGTTTCTACTTCCACTGCTGCAGTTTCCACAACTGCAGTTTCTACTGCTGCAGTTTCCAATGCTGCAGTTTTCTGTACAGCAGTTTCCATACCTGCAATTGCCCCTACTGTAGTTTTTACTGCTACAGCTCCCTCTGCCGCAGCTCCACTAAGAACATCATTGTCTCTCTGGAACTCACGTCCTTTATTTACCCCCATCTCCTCCACGGTCTTGTTTGTGAATGGACTCGCCGGTTCCTATTGTTCCCGTTATTCCATCTTCATTACCAGAGACACATTCATCTTCAGTTTGCAACAGCACTACTCTTATCGTGTATCGTTGATGGCGTGCGCCGCAACATCGCTTGTCCGGGGATCGACAACTTGTTTCTTTGTCTGCCCCGATTCTCTCTGTGCCTGCTCCACAGTTTATTGCGGTACCTTTGTGCCAAACAGCAATATCTGCTCGTACGCCTCCTGCAGACAGTCCAGCTGCCTGCACGAAGCCATGGGGCCATGTTTCTTGCCCTGATATTCACGAGTTACCTGTAGAACAAGGTGCGGGCCCCACCCAGGGTGCACTCCCAATCTCGGGTACAGTCCCTGCTCAGGATGCAGCCCCAAACATCGAGGGATTGGAACATGATTTGCCTGGATTGCAGTTAACCCCACAAAGCTTAGACCTCGTGGGGGATCTGCAAATGGCTGACCAGGACCGTTTGGATGAACCGCAAATTTGTGCCCCGCCACGTGCAGACCGCATGGGTGATCTGCAAATGACTAATCAGCAAACAACCCAAGACATTTTGGGCTTGGAACACCATCTGGGTGATCTCCGAATTGCTGGCCAGCATCCTGCACACCAGCCTGAAATCCTTACCAATCTCAGTGGTCTGACCGTAACTAATATTGCCTTCATCACATTCTTTACCGCCCTTTTTATACACCGTCAGACTTCCTTGCAATCGCCCTTCAGCTTGATGCTGATCTTCCCCGCCTACAACCAGAGGATTGTAATTATACCAGGGAAAGGCTTTACCATTGCTGTCCTCCAAGTAGCAATGAGTATGCAATGTCGAGCAGGTGAGTGGTTTAATCCTCCATCCCACATCTCTGCCTGCATTGTGCACGGACTTGGCCATTATATGGCTATTGTACATGCCTCTGACCACTGGGAACTGTGGGACAATGGCGTCATGGTCCGTGCCATGACTGATGTTACAGATTTCTTACATAATGACATGCCGTTTTCTTGCCTGAATGGACGGTTGGACTGGGCCTACCGAACCCATCTGGTGCACGATCTAGACTTTAGCTATCCTACCTCGTGGACTGGTACTATGGTGCATGAGACTTGGAAAATTGGGACTGGAACTTGGGGCAGGACGCTGACCCGTGTGAAATCCTCTCAGTCCAACCGGCTTAAGTTTGAGGTTCTTCGAGAAAGATGCAAACTTTCCCACCTGTCTGAGATATGAAGCTCTCTCCAAGCCTCCTCGTAGTGAGAGACTACTCTAGCGGCGGTCTCGCTTAACTCTGTTTTCGTAACCATGCTTTTGTAAAGCATTGGTCAACCTTCGGTTTCTGATATTGGAATTGGACTTTATACTGCCTCTGTGACCGTCTCCTTCTTCACCCTGATTGGCCAGTGTCTTGGTCAATCATGCTATCTAATAAAGTATCTTCCATCCATGTCAGGTGGAATGATTGATCTGTGTGAGGGGAATGAGGTGTCTGATACACAGGGCAACAACTCGGAGGCGTGAAACATAGGATATGTTTGTGGATTGGGAGGCACATCTATGACACACGAAGGGTCCATCAGCATCTCTCACTACATCCAGGACTTCCAACTGTTCTCTGTGTGTGGGTAGCAATTTCTGAGAAGTACCTTCTTTTGGCATGAACGTTTAGACTTGACCCGGACCAAAACACCTGCAGAGAACTGCGGCGGTCTTCAACATTTGTTAGCCTCTTCTACCATCGTCTCCTGGGCGTGGCCAATGTTCTGGTCAACCTTCAGAAGGTCTTTGTCGGATTTCGGTGTAAATTCACGGGACCCCGGTGATAGTCTCTGCAGCGCCTCAGGGTTTAGGCACGCTATAGGTCTTTGTGGCTCCACGCTTATGCAATCTGTTAGGAGTCCTACCAGTCGACAAACGCACTGAGTTATTGTACGCATTGGCTACCTTCTGTAAGTTTTCGTCCCAATCTATCTGCTGGGGTCTAAACACACTGTGGTATGGTGTTGTGTGTGTGTGGTGTGAGTTCAAGGACGCTACAGCCCTGGGGGTGGGCTGTATATCACGACGGGTATGGATCCAGTTTTTATAACACCTCCAAGGGTTGTAGTGGTTACGAGACTTCGTTCTTGAGGCTGAGGATGCCGGTTCGAGGCCGTGCGTGCACGGCGGGGCCTGATGCCCTAAACGCACGTTGTAAGGTTTAAAATAAAATAACACTTTATTGGCATGGTCCCTGCACAAGGATTAAAATAAAATATTTTTTTGGCTATTCCTTGGAACAGTGCAGTTCAGTGAGAGTACCAGTGAGCCGAGCTCAGTTGGTACACCCTTGAACTGCTGAATAACAGACTCAAATTCGAATCCAGATGGACCTAGATGAATGCAATGAGATAATAACTGGGGGTTGGTCAACTCGATGATGATATCTCAAGGCCCTCACCGTTTTAAAAAAGAGGAGGGAAAGAAACAAAAGAAAGGAATTTAAGTGAGAATTTTCAGTGTCGGCCATTCCCTAATCGCTCCTATTTTCTTGTCCTCAGGCTGTCTTTGCACCCTGGCCCATTCACATGTCTTCGGATTTTATCATTTTACCTTAGACTTACCTTCTCTCTCTGATAGTCTGACAAAAGTTTAGCCACAGTCGTGGTTTCTTGAAATTCTTTCTGTTTTTTTGCTTTTTTGCTTGACAACGCACATGCACACACACACACACACACACACACACACACACACACACACACACACACACACACACACAAGGACAACCAAAAAACTGTCTAATTATAAAATTGCGTTAATATGTTGGACATCTCAAATGCTCTCGTTGTCTGCAATAGGACAAAGACTGCTTTGGTTCTGAATCTATTCACCTGGGCGGAATTGGGGCTGTTGTGGGGAAAATCTAAAACACACACACACACACATACACCCACACACACCCACACCCACACCCACACCCACACCCACACCCACACCCACACCCACACACACACACACACATCTCATGTGTGCTTCATTGCCGGCAATAGAGGTAAAGCTGCTTTGATTTTGGATCTACTCATCTGGGTGGAACAGGGGCTGTTGTGGTGAAAATCTACAAATCACACACACACACACACACACACACACACACACACACACACACACACACACACACACACACAGACACATATTCCCAGACGTGTTTCGCTTCCTGTCAGGTATTGAAATAGGCAGTCTACAAATATTCTTTGAAAGCCAGTATGCATGAACTTGTTCACTTCCCTCAAGGATATTGCAAATTTTCGGTGAGCGGGTGTGATGGAACATCTGTCGAATTCATCGTGGATACTTTGTCCAGGTTCAACCACCTGATGAGTTGATGAAAGTCTGATGAAATGATCAGTCACAGCCATGTCTTTTTTGTGCAGTTTGTGTTTGACAAACATCACCATACACACACACAGATAGAGATTGATATATATATATATATATATTTGTGACGATATATATATATATATATATCGTCAAATAGAACTGCCCGGTAAACCGTAGGCAGAGAGGGAGAAGAGGACAACAAACGAGGGGCTGTGACAAACTGTTTCTATATATAGCCTCCTGATGAGTCGGTGAAACTCCGACGAAACAGTTTGTCACAGCCCCTCGTTTGTTGTCCTCTTCTCCCTCTCTGCCTACGGTTTACCGGGCAGTTCTATTTGACGATATATATATATATATATATATATATAGAGAGAGAGAGAGAGAGAGAGAGAGAGAGAGATTTTGCCAGGGATAAATTTCAATCAGATTTTGTACTTGTCTGAATTGTGTGTTGACAGATGGGTGTTGACAAATGAGATCCTTCGGGTAATGCATTGTGTCACAGGGAAGGTACAGCATTATTGGTATAGAGCCAGACGTGGAGATTTTAGCGAAAGAGGATCTTGTCACAGTGCTAGACCATGTCAAAGGGACTAGGTACGAGGCATTGACCGATGATCCACTGTCAATGCCAAGCGAACTCTCGAAGGACTGGGTGCCAGTTTTCTCGGAAGGGCTTCCCGACACTTTCACAGGTAAATGCTGAAGGTTATCGAAGTCTATTGTCTTCATCTGATTTCATCGCAATTTGAACTGATGTTCTGTTAACTAACAGTGATATGTGTCTGTGCCATTCTGGGGGGCACATCTGATTCTACGGACCCCTTATTTCTGCATCTGTCGTGCCTTTTTTTTTTCCCCTCTTGCGGAGTCTTGCCTATCATGTCACATCTTTTCGTCCGTCTGAGCTTCTTGAGTTAATCTCATCATTTTCAGTCTTCTTGAAAAAATTCATTTTCATTTTCCTTTTGTTAATTGATGGCCTATCCTGGACACCCGGCCTAGTCGTTAAGCTGCTCTGTACTGCTATGAACCGATCATGTGCTTTCAGGTAGCATCGGCTGCTGTACTCCGTGATACTGAGAGGGGTGCAGGCGGTGTGTTTTGTTTTGTTTGTTTGTTTGTTGTTTTTGTGTTTTTTGTTTTTTGAGTTGAATTAGACATTGAGTTGCTAGTGGTTCTTTTTCATGGATCGTCTGCTCTGTATGGCCATCGAGCTCGGTGTCGCATCTGAGTCAAATGTGTTATGTGTGTGTGTGTGTGTGTGTGTGTGTGTGTGTGTGTGTGTGTGTGTGTGGTGTTTAAGTACCCCGAATTCTCTCTCTCTGATTCCCTCCACAAATCAGACAAAACATCCATCCATAACAAGAAGGTATAGATAGTAGCTAATATCATAGAAATTTAGAAAATGCAAGGTTGGCCACGTTTGTGTGGTTCAGCGCCAAGTGCTCACAGAGTGTGTGTGTGTGTGTGTGTGTGTGTGTGCGTGTGTGTGTGTGTTGTCACGTCCGCTATAAGAAAGTCCACAAAAACTGTGCCAGACGGTTTCGTCATACTGTCATTGATGCATGTGTGTGTGTGGGAAGGGGGG